GGCGGCCCGGGTGGCAGCTGAGGAGGTGTCTGTCGCTGAGGGTCGCGCGAAACCGTGTGGGCGCAGCCGCATGGTGAGGTGGCGGAGAGATCGGCCCCCGTCCTCCCCGAACCGTCTCCCCTTCGCCAGAGGGCACAGAGGCAGCTCAGCGCTCGGGGGCTGGGAGCGTACACAACGGCGGATGAGTGACGGGTGGTACACACAGGGCGAGAGGGTGGCCTGGCACCCTGAAGAAGTCGCAAAAAAATGGGTGAAAACCCCGTTCCCACAGCTGCCCATTGACTTGGGAAAGCCCGTCTATCATGGCTAGAAGCCACAATTTTTAGTTTATTAATGGCCTTTTCTTAAATGTAACTGAAATAGTACAAGCGTGAGGTCTCTCGGCCTAGCAGTGCAGTTGCCTCCAGGAAAGCAAGAAGCGATGTGCTGATGCCGATAGGAATCCATTGGTATGCAGCACAGCTCTTCCACCCGTCCAGCCAACACTGGCCAATGTGAAACAGAGGGAAGTCTTGAGTGAAGGCTTCACGTTAGGAGGTGCAGTAAACTACCAGGTGAGCTTGTGCGGTAGACTACTTGTTAAATCGTTGTGGTTTAGTGCCCTGCCCGCCTCTTTTACGTTACAGCTTTCTGTAGAGTTTTTTTTCTTACAAAATAACTGTAACCTTAATTGTTCTAAACGATGCGGTGAAGGAGGCCCCAAAGGAATATACTGCTCTTATCTGTAAAACTGCTCAAGAATCCTGGGTCTCTTGAGAGAAAACTGCAGGTTATTCATTGTACTTTATTAAATATTTTTTATAATTATTGTGTATCATACGTCTAAACCATGCTGCGATCAGTAATTTACCCTCAACACAAAAATTTCACCAGTTCAAGTACATGAAAGATGAAATACCTTGTCCAATGTCATGCTGACAGTCCAGAACGTGCCTGGAGTAGTGGCTAGGTTTAGTGATTTACATAGCCATTTAAGTTCACGGTTAATGCTAATTGGTAGTAGCAGGAAAATGGAGGTAAGTGTAATTATCTGAAAACATCCGTTGTTTCTCTTACTGAATTGCAGACCACACTCTGTACTTACGTTTTAGCTTGTGGTAAGGTCTTTTGTCTGCATTTAAAGAGACTGGTTAATAGGTACAAATAAGTGGTTTTAATTAGATTTCTTTACTCCGTGACAGGCAATTACAATTGTGGTAGCATCTGCAGCTTCAGAAGCCATAGCACAATGTTTTTGTAGTAAAGCAAAGAGCACTGCTTTCAGAGAAGGAAAAAAAAAACACCAAACCCAACTTTTCCCAATTAGTTCTGAATCAGTCCCTTAAATCTAAACCTGCAAATTATATATACATGTGAGTAACATTATAGGAGTGCAGTGCCTCTAGGCTCAGTGCAGTCTGCATTATGCTATACATATGTATGTATGTATATAAAGACTAAGCTCATTTTATCTGATTTAGTAAGGAGACATATACCTACGCACAAATCTTTGGAAATCTTAACCTAAATATTCTCGAATGAAACCACGAAAGAGCTGCTTTAGAAGAGGCTGATAGCTAATTCTGAATCATAGTCTAGTCACAAGAAATGATTCTGGTGCATCTATATAAATCCATGGAGGTGGCGTTACTGAGACTTCCATGGAGTATTTGCAGCAAATAATCGACCTACTGAATGAACTCCTTACTTCCAATTAACAAAACGCATGAGAACAAGCTAATGATATCATAGCATAAATGTCAGTTGGTTGTAAAACACAGCCCTTAATTTTCTGATAATTTTTATTCTTTTTTTCAATGTATGTGTCTGTGCAATGCTCAGAAAATACAAAAATGTGCTTCCCTGCCTGACTCCTAGGATCTTAGGAGTTCATACTTAAAAGATACATTTGTCTATACCGTAAATCACAGTATCATTATAAATGGTTTGCGTCTATGGCATTAAGTTACATAATTACATTTTTCACAAGTTCCCCCTGGAGAAATGTGGTGGGTTTGGAAGATGTTATTGTGCTCTTATTTAGGAAGGTGTCTGTTAGGGAAGACGACATCAAAGAAATAAACCTTGAAAGTAGTCACAAAATAATAGTCCCTTTGTAGTAGTGGGGGAGATTGGTTACATGAAGGAACAAAAGGGGTCCTGCCCCACAGAGCTTAAGATCTACGTTTGCCATTAAAAATGAAGCATACAAATGTTGGTTGAGAAGAAAGTAACAGGAAAGTAAGCAATTTCTGCCAGAGAAAAAGTAGCTTGTCTTTGATATCTGCTGTAAAATGTATGGTAAGGGCTTTCACGGGCACTGCAGTAAAACTAGGTCTTCTGCTTTTCCTTTTTTTTTTTTGAAAGAAGATTTCATTACGTCTGTTTTCAGAGAACTTCCTGCCTGTGTGAGAATACTATGTTGTGTGTGGGAAGATGAAGCCTTGGCTGGCGACAGGTAGCATTCCGCATCACGTTGACACAGTAACAGTGCAATTAGTCCTGAAAGTTAAACCATCCTGTGAGAAAGAAGGCTGCTGAGTGATACAGAGAAGCTAATGTACCCAGACTAGTGAATCTACTAAACTTCACGTAAGTTGGACAGTTTTCAATGAACATTACCTACTTTCCTACTGTTTTAAATATTTGCATATAGGTGAACAAGAAGTGGTACTTCCGCAAGGAAATTGTTTCCACCAAAGGCTGTCAGCCAAAATGCAGGAGGATGTGTTGATTTAAATAATTCCTGGAGACTGGCTTGGCATTGCATTAACTTCTTCTGATGTTCCATGATTCAGTTTTTATGGTACCATAACTGCTTATAGTTCTTAGGTATAAAAATAATCACAAAGGCATCTCTCAGCCCTGCAGCAATTACTTAATCTGTCAGAATGATGTGACATAGCTGTAACAAACACTGGAGGTTTCCTGTAAACTTTGTTTAGTTGAATGGCAATTTAAGATATTCAGATGTTTACAATACCAGTCTTCCCATACGACATTATACATTTTGCCATCCCTTCAAATATTCGGTACTGCACAGTAAGCCTCACATGCATCCGCTGTTTTCTGAACTAATATAATCTTTAATTAGCCAGTTCTGCTATATTAGTAATTTAGTGCCCAATGTGATTCCTGTTAATATTAGTAGGAATTCTTCATGATGAATTGACGGCTCAAGTAACATTTGGTTCTCTACTTATTAGGAAAAATTTAAATACCTTTATACAGTCTAGCTACAGGATAGCTAAAATCTCCCTTTGGCTCACTTTGGCTTTAGATTTTTTTACTTGTTCTTTGTTTTGGTCTTAGAGCTGCTCAGAGAGCAACTTTCTTTCCTCTAAGCACTTAAGTTTTGTAAATTCCATGATGAGGAAATGCATCGCTGTCTCTTGAAAACATAGACCCATGTTCAGCTCACACCATTTTGTTTTTCAATTATAACACTAAGTCTGTTAACAATATCAGAGCTTGTAAAGAAGGACGAGTGAAAGCTCACTTTACTGTTCAGCTGTAAATATCAACCCCCAGGTACAGATCTTAGAAATGATAATTTCCTCACTAAAGGAACTTCCTACTTTCATGGCAAGGACAAACCAACTGACTTCAACAAGAAGTTGTTACTCTTGTAAAAAGTGAGTTGCCTTATCAAAGCAAATGCTACTCTAAAATTCTTTATGGGGAAACAGTACAAACTGACAGTGCATTTCAAAGTGTAATAACTAGTGACATGCAATTGGGGTATCGATGTCATTCTGATGATTGAAAAGTTTGGGGAATAGAAGCCCTTTTTTCAGAACTGAAATAAAAGCAATGAACTTCAAAGCTAAGTTATGAGTTTAAGAACAGTTGTTTTGAGCTTAATTAGATATTTACCAGACTATGAAAAATACGGTGGATGGGAGAGGCTAGTGATAACCTTGCAAGGAACCTACTACTATAAAACAGTAGTAAGGAACTAACAAGTCTGCCTGTTTTATTGATTTAACGATTAAAAAAAGCACATTCATATTAAACGGATATGAATAAATGTACAGTGAATACATCATTTAGTTTAATTTCCTGTCATACTGTAACAGCAGGGCATGGCAATAACTGCTGTTAACAAGTTTCTCAGGTTTCTGGGCTGTCTTCGTATTGTGTCTCTTTGGCTGAAAGGGGAGACCTGACTTTTCTCGATATCTGATGTTACATGTTCTCAAACTGATCCGTGCTGCTTAGAGAGCTCAGTTCCCAAGGCTCCTCCTACTTGCCCTAGGTGAGTGCAACAAGATAGGACTAAGGCCCTTCTTTATTTGGATTAATTGTTTCTGAAATAATAAGACGCCTTATTCATCCCAGAGTTGCTTAAGAGTTGCTTTTAGGGCCAAGATGAGCTTCCAGAGGAAAGTGAGTTTATTCTAAGAGCAAAGGTTGACGTGTAGGAGGGGGTACAAAGTAAATAGCAAAAATGCAATTTAAAATTAAGCTTACCAAATAAGTTTTCCCTTCAGTTGCTTCAGGTTCACAGTTAGCTTAAGGGAGAGAAAGGGAGGACTGTGGAATTTTCTTTTTCTGTCCCCCAGGACTGGCTTGCCCTAAATAGCTTTCTCAGTCCATATGGTCAATGCTACTTAGTTCGGGATGGTTCTCCCTGTTCTTATGAATTATCATGTTCAATCCTGATTGTATTTCTGTTCAGTAAGAAGTAGGAATTTTTCCTTGAGGGGTTTTGTCCTTGTGCATTCATTTGAGCTTAAATTACCCTCCTATTTTTAGAACATTTTGTAAGTTTTTGTCATGTCTTCGGTGTCCGTGCATCTTACTAGCTTTGTTGTCTGCCATTCATTTTAAATTCTTTATAAAAAATGCATGTATCACCATAAAGGATACGGTTAGTTGTATGACAGTTAATTCCCACCCTCCTCATCATTCCCGCTGTCTCCTTGTCCACACACAGTTTTGAGGCTCCTGCTCTTAAAATTTCCTCCCTTTGCTATTTCCAACTCCAGCAGTGTCAGGCAGCACAGCTTGAGGTACTTCCTCTTTGCCAGCCAGTAAGTTATGCCAGTCTGCTTAGTGGCCAAAACTGGTGGCATGTGTCAGAATTGGGGTGAGTGTCAGGTAATGAATGGGAAGTAGGTACTGGGAATGCTAGACCTGTCAGACACAGCCTGGAGCAGCCCAGTGCAATTGAACTCGTCACTGAGTCAGAGCCTGAATGTTTCTGCAGTTGTTCCAGGACCCACTCGCTTCCCCACTCATGCCT